GCAAACATTCCAGTCTCTTCAAACTGAGACAGCTTACTGCACCCAAACACAACAAGAAGCAATTTCTGCCTTAGTGGATCCTCAGCTGAAGAATATAAAAGATAAGAGGGAATCTATTTTTCTCATGTAGCATATCAGCCTGGTTTTCCTGTCATGAAAAATTGGCATTTTATAGTCTACAGAGGGCCTTGTCCACTCAGTCTTCCTGATAGGGTGGCCTGGAGCAGAACCTAATAAAGTCACCCATGCCTGCTCTCCCTTAATCCTAATTCATCACCTTTGGTCAGCTCCTCATCCATCCCCAGGCACAGCTGGTCATTGACACAGGGTGTGACCCCCTACTCCTCATTTTCCCACCTGCCCCTTCCTAAAGAGCCTGTGTCCTTCCACTCCAACACTGCAGTGTCACAAACCATTCCACCACTTTGCCAGTAAGATCACAGCCCTGCAGGTAAATCTCTAACTCCCCTTGTCCATTGCCCATATCTTTGCGCAGAGGCAGTTGAGTTGGGCTCTGATGAAGGCCAAGGACTGGCTGGAGCGCCTGGAATTCCTTTGTGCTGCGATTCAGGGGCTTTCCTGCTGACCTGTGATCCCATTCTGGGCATCTCTTGCAAGCCCGGTTTTAAACTGATAGGATTGGGATGGGTTGAGGTTCTCCTCCCCCAGCCCTCACCAACTTGGCAAGCCTGTTGCCGAGGAAGCTCTTCCCCTCCCTGCTGGGGATCCCACCAGACCCCAGCAGACCCCAGCAGACTGTGTTTCTCAAAGCAAGTCCTACAGTCTAAACTGAACCCCTGGCTGTGGCACCAGTCCTCTAACCATTTAATGATTTGCCAAATGCAACAGTTTGGCGTTTTCCAACCCCCTTCCCATTGACTGGAAAGACTGGTGAAAAAACTACCTGTGCTCCAGAAGATGATTAAGAGACTGGAGCATCTCTCTTATGAGGAAAAGCTGAGGGAGCTGGGCCTGCTCAGTGTTGAGAAGAGATGGCTGAGAGGGGACCTCATCAATGTCTGTCAGTGTCTACAGGGAGGGGTCAGAGGATGGACCAGGCTCTGCTCGGGGGTGCCCAGCAAGGGGACAAGAGGCAACAGGTGGAAACTGATGCCCAGAAGATCCATCAAAATGTAAGGAAGAACTTCTTGTGAGTGACAGTGCACTGGAACAGGTTTCCCAGAGAGATTGGAGAGTCTCTGTCACTGGAGATATTTCAGAACTGTCTGGACACAATCCTATGCAATGTCCTCTGGGACGACCCTGCAACAGTGAGTTTGGACTGGACGACCCACTGTGGGCCCTTCCAAACTTACCTGCTCTGTGACTGTGCTAGGCCCTGTCATCTCAGGATTTCAAGAATATAGGCCATGTCTTATCAAGAGCAAACAGTACAGCCTGAGTGGGGAATAGACAAAACTAGAACTGCTACAGCTGCACTCCTGCACGAACACCAAACTGGGGTGACTACAACTCAGTCACTGCAGGCTGTAGATACCTGTAGCCCCTGTGAGCCCAGGGAGCTCTCCTGTATGGCATGGTGGTGATCTCCCTGTGAGCAGGGACATAGCTCAATGTTACTTCCTGAGGATCAGAGACCCCCTTACCTGGCATCTGATATCTATAATGAGGTAAGAATATTTTGCATTAAGCCTAAAACTGTATTGTATGTTAGTGACATTTATATGTCCGGCTATAGCTTTAGAAGTGGAATATGTAGCAAAGTATAATCATTGTTGAAATCATCAACTACATCATTGTTCAATTACCATTTAATTAGAGCTTGTTATTATTGTTAAATCATTGTTAAACTGTGATTAAATTATCATTCAATTACTGCTTAATCACCATTTATCATTTCATTATCATTAAATAATTGATTAATTACCATTTGACTATCATCTAATCATTAATAAAACCCTTTTATTATCCCCACAATGATGACTTCCCTAAAAAATTCACCTGCAACAGTAGAGCTGTGGGTGTATAAATGGGGGAAAGGGGAAGAAGAAATAGATGTGGTGATGGCTGCTAACACAAAAGATGTGGCACCTTTACTGTTGTTCATTTATGACTGTAAAGAATAAAGCACAGTAATAAGGAAATGCTTTGTGAGCAAAGGCCTTTGATGATAAGGCTGTAATTTTCCAGTTGGGACAAGTCTATGTAACAATCAAAATGCAAAACTGTACCAGGCAACAACCAGAATATTGACTCTAACCTGTGTTTGAAAGAAAAAATGTTTAGTCATATTGACAAAAAACATTGCTCTTTTAAGAGACACTCTCCGCTAAATGTTAAACTACCAACTTCCTCTGTATTCACCACCTGTGCCTGATGAATACACAGTCTTCCTCCCCTCTCCCTGCAATGTATGAAACAGACTATTTATCCTGCATAGGAAGGCTTGGTAAATGGAATGCCCTGGTTCTCTGGGATACTGGTGATCTGCTTGAGCCCCTAGGGAGGAAGATGTGATAAATGCAGTAGCTGATAAATAATCTGTGGTATAACTAGTGTTACCCTTGTTGGACAGACAAGCAAGCAGCAGATTTCCCATGTACAGGAGGGTGTTTATCCTGGCTTTTGTGCTTGCAATTGCTTGCTGAACCTGATGTGCCTCTATGAAATTATTTTCTCAGCAACTGTATGAGAGCAAGCCAGCCTATGAATCTGCAGTGTACACAGGTATAGTTTCATGTTTTGCTGCACCATCAGCACCTGCAAATTTCCTAAACAGCCTTTGATTTTAAATGTCAGTGACTTCCACTATCAGGTTTCTTAGGTGCTCCTCATTCCCATCGGGAGAGCTGCCAGGTAGCACAAGGTGACCCTTAAAGCACTGGGATTAATAGCAGTTACCTCAGTGGTGATGGTCAAAGAGGAGAGGGCGGTAGATAAGAAAAGCTGATCCCACCTCCACTCTCTGCCCTCCTTGCCAGGCAGGACACGCCTGGCACTTCAATGTGCCTGTCTTCAGCCCCCTTGCCCGGGCTTTTGACCAGAGAAATTCTGGCCACGCTTCTGCCTCGGCTGAGGGTTTCGGTGGCACCAAGCAGGAAGCAGGAGCCGGCTTTATTCCTCTTTCCTTAAGAGTTCTACCAACCTTCCCTAACGGAAGGGCCCTTTATTTAGGCCCAGCCAGGCTCTGACCACCTGCCCTCCTGCTAGTCACCATGTACAGTCACATCCCCGGAGCAAGCACAAACACATCTCCTCGATCACTGGACGCTTTTCCCTGCCCCGCTGGCTCCGGCACCGCAGCCTAGCCCCGCCGGTTCCCGCAGATCACGCCCTTCCCCGCTGCTCATAAGCCGGCAACTTCTTGGCCCCCCCTTTCCCTGCCCCCCCCGGCCTCGGTGCGGCCGCCCCTTTACCCCTGAAAGCCAAACCCCCAGGACAGCCCGATCCTGACGGGGAGATTTACCCGATCCGCAGGGCAGCCCCGCACTGCCACTCCCGCCTCCCTCCCGCTCGCAGCTCCACTCCCGCCGCTATCTTAGCACTCGGCTTGTGGCTCACTTCTCTTCCGCGAATTTCTCTCCTCCCTCTCGCGCGGTGAGGGTGGGATTAAAGGCATCAAAGACCAAACATGTGACTCCGCCGGCACAGGGACACTTAAAGGAGGGGAAGGGGAGATGGCCGCAGGGGGTTACCGAAAACCGGGGACAGGACCGGCCCAGTGAATGCAGGTTCAGGAGTAAAAGGTGAGTTGCCCGAGCCCCAGGAGGATGCCCGGGGTGGAGACGGCAGCGCAGCCGGAGCTGCTCATTCCTGCTCGGCGGTCCCCGAATGCTCCATCGCCATCGGCGGGACTCCCGCATGGGCAGCGCAGCTCCCGCAGCCCGTCCCCAGCCAGGAGTAATCTCTGTCAGGTGTCAACCTCTGTCCCCTCTGCCGAGTGTCCCCGCCGGCACCCGCATCGCCCTCCCCCGCCGGGACCTGGTGGATGCTCTGGACCTCCCGCCTCACTCTGCGGCGGGGAAGATCACCGGGACTCCACAAGCTCGAGTGGAAAGTCAATGTTACGAGTCACCAGCTGGTTCTTTATGTGCGTGTCAAGCGTCACAGGTGGAAACATGAAACTTTCACTGTCTCAGTCTGTAACCTCCGCACAGGTCAAGTGGGGAGGCTTGTTAGCTACGCCAAAATTTGTGTCAGGCTGTTCAGAATTCAAACATTTTACCAAACTGATCCAAACCTGCCACTGACATGTTCATTTCCCCTCCCCACCCTGTCCTCCTCCTCTCCGTGTTCCACTTCCTTGTTCTACACTTTTGAGTCCTGTGACCGTAATACCTAATTAACCACAGTCACCTGAAATATGCCTCACAGAAAGTTTTCTGTCTTTCATCGTAAAAACTCTGTAGTTTTGTGCCTGCAGCTCCAGAAAATGCAAGTCCATGTATTTGGGCTCAAATATTTTCAGGCTCTGACCTCTCGTAGGTCTAAGAAAAATCTGTGGGGAAAAGAAATAAAACCAAAAACCAACCACTAAGAAAAAAGATCCCTTAGGTTGTTTCAGTAAAACACAATTCTATCACAGCTAGAATTTTGCTAGTGCCCAGCTCTGTAATCAGAAGTTTCCAGCATGAGGTATGTTTTTAATTTTAGCATAGCAATTTCTATCATCCTTTCTAATAAGCATGATGAACAAAGGAACTCAGATGTCAATGGCTGTGATCCTTATTTTTAGTACTGGCAAAAGCCATCTCACAGCTAAGACTTCTTATTGCAGAAATAATGTGGAAGAAGAGGGGGGAAAACAGAGGAACAGTAATGCTCATAATAAACAACACAATCGAGTATCACAGTTGGGTTCCTATAATGACTTCCTAGGAAAAGGTCCCCCAGTTTACTTAGATGGATGTTCTTCTCTGAAAATAATGAGGCAAGACAGTAGAAGAAATCACAGTTTCTCAGATGATTTGCTTTCCAAAATCCTTCTTTGCTACCTCTGCCTCTTTTTCTGTTTTTAATGACAGTGATTCATACTTTACCTTCCACTTAAATACTCTCATGCCTTCAAAAGTTGATGCATTGGAAAAACCACAAATCCTGGAACAGAACAGAGAAAGAAGGGTATATGAAAGTACTAGGGGTGGGACAGAGATCATACATTCCTAAGAGGTCCATTACTATGTTCTTCCCAGGATTAGAGTTGCAGAATTTGTGAGGAAAAAAATATTTTTTCCACTTCTGTGTCAGTGAGCAAATGGGAAAGTGACTGTTGAGCAACATCAGCAGAAACACGTCCCATTGCACTCAGTACTACATTTCAGATGGTGTTTCAGCCAGCAGAACAATTTGGGATAATAAATGAAAAAGAATGGGCCAGAGGGCCTCTTCATTGGGAATAAATAGTTAAGTAATTGAAATTTTGTGTAATTTTTTGTGTGATTTCTGTACAGGCTTCCCTGCTCTCACTTCAGTCACTTGCACACGCTCTTCAGGCAACTTTCATCCTTAAACATTAGTTCTTTAAAACAGCTTCTGTTGGACCCAAAAGACTGAGTGGGAAGAGCCTCAAGTGATCTGAGGGCTGTGGCACAGAACGACAGTGGAAGCCTGTCATTCCTGACTACTTCATTCTTATCATGGTGCTGTCTCCTGCTGTGCGTGAGCATAAGGGAGACAGATCTGGCTGAAAAAACAAACCTTTTCTTATTGCAGATTATTTCTTGGCCAAGTCACTTTATCTCATCAGCTCCCCACACCATATGACTATGTCAGCATAGCAGGGAGGGGTCTGGAAAGCAGAGATGAACATGTGGGGACAAGACTGCTTGTGCAGTAACCCAACTGCAACCTGAAATGCTCAGAAAAATAGTAACTTATGAAATTATTCAGCCTGTACAATAATAGGATAGGACTTAAAAACTATAACCACAAAAAAATCTTGTGGTGAGGATTTATCTAAGTAGTGGAGGTTCAGGCCAGCTGCTCAGATCCGAGTATTTTCTGTTGCCAAAGCACCTTTCCCCTCTGCTATCCGCTCTGACAGCCTTGATGGCACTGAGCATTTGTGCAAGGGAATGGGGATAATATTTTGTTGTGCTTTGCCTGAGATCAAGTACAGCTCCTGCTTTTCATAAACAGTGTGAGAGGCAGGACCAGCTAGGCAGGTGATGTTTAGATACTTGCACAATGTGCAGGCAGAGCAGAAATTCACGGTCTTGGGGGCTGCTGAACTGAGAAGCCTCATTTCTTATGGAGTTGTGTTATTTGTGCCCTGTGCATCACTGTCAAAATATCCTTACTCTAGTCTCATGTTCCTTGCCTGCTCCTGATTCCTTAGCTTTCCTCCCACACAGTAGTTCTACTGCTTCATGTTTTCACCACGAGGCCAGGGCATGAGGGTGTGCACACTCCAGCTGACTTTGAGCTGCATGTTCTGATTATCCAGCCAGCAAATCAAACAAAAGCTTCCTGTTCAGAGTGAGCTGAAGGCTTGCACCCAGAAGGATAGAGATGTGCATCTCTCTGCTCTGCAAGAAGCTGCATGAAGGACATGGCAGCAAACTTGTTTGAGACTTGCTTCCTTCAGCCAGTTGCAATGAAATTTGAGAAGTGCCTTCAACATTTATTAGGGGCAGGGAGGAATCTGTCAAAAGACAGAAAGAAGGAAGAAAGAAGAGAAGTAGAAAAAACCAAAACATTTTGCAAGCCTGGTCTCCTTAGGTAAAAATCCAAAGTGACTGCATTCTAGCAGAAGGAAGGAATAATGTGTTTAGCATAACTTGTTGTACCAGTATGCACATTACCTGTAAAGGCTGTGCCTCCTCCACAAACACTCTGAGAAGTTCTCTAGTGACAGTACTATTGCTTTATGTACAGATACCAGATGATAAAAATTGCTTGGTTATTCCTGTACTGTCAGCTGCACAACAGACATGTTCTTCTTGTAGGTATCTGCTGTTCATTTCAAAAGCTAAATTTTAAAATACTTTTCTTTCCTTACTAAGGTTTTATAGGGGGAAACCTCTCCCCCCCCCAGTAAATCAATAAATATTTCCTGCTTATATTCTGTTTCTTTAAGAAGAAGCAGACATTTCTAATGTCTGTTTCGAATAGAAATACAATACTGATGATAAATTACATAAAGTGGCTTTATCTTTTTTTCTTTCAGACTCAGTATTGGTCACTGGGGACAAAAAGTGTTCAAAGTCCTTTGCTGTTCACTGGAGACATTATGAGCTTATATGTCAAGGCTATTGTGTTTAACTTTAGACAACAGTAGTTAAAGGAAACACAGCTCCAGTGGGGATGGACTCATGCTGGCTTAGCTGTATAGGGTAAGTTAATGTTCTCTAAAAAGGCTAAAATATTATGATCTCCTTTTCATCCTGGTCTGTGCATTTGGTTATTTCTTCAGGACTAAGCACTGTTCATGTATTTCCCAGGACTTCCCTCTATAGAGTCTCCTATGTACAACTGCATCCAAGACTTTTCAGGCGCATTCTAATAACTAATTCATCTTGCAGATAAATTATTACTATTCCTGTAACCTCTTCTACCCACACTGCACACATCTGAAGATGACAGAAACACACTTACTGTAGTCTAGTTCACTTTAGAGAGTACTGGGCACACACACAAAGCTTTTCTATGCTTCCTTTGCTTCTCTGATCAAACCATTAGGTAGGGCTAAAAAAATACCAGTGTGAGCCAACATGGCGATGTGTTAAATGATGATGGAATTTCAGAAAGACTTTAACTGTGATGACACTCAGAGAAATGGATGTATCTTGGTTAGTGTAGTTGCATATGCTCTGGGGATCCAACTTCCTTCCTGTCTTGCTCCAACATTCTGACTCTTGCAGACTGCAGAGTATTTCAAAGAGAGGGACAAACATTGTCATTTAGACTCAGAGTCCAGTGGCTCTTCAAAATATCTCTTGAAATACACTGGCTCTCAGTTACTTGCTCTGTTCTGCAACATAGAAGACTGGTCTGGAATAGACTTTTTGCTAAAAAAAAGATACTGCTGCGAAAAAGAAAATGGGGTGAAGAGGCAAACCAGAAGATTTCCAAACTGAGAGTCAGAAGGAATTGTCCCCCAGGGACTGCAGGAATGCTCTTAGTTTTCCCTTTCAGAATGTAAAATTATTTTGTATGGTCATTGGGCACATTTCACAAACAAATTCTGTGCCTGTGTGAGAGGCACAAAGAGTCAGTAATTTCTCTGCCCTCTTTCACTGCAAATTTTAGGTGAGCACTTCTGGAACTAAAGGTCTGATAACTGCATGAGAGAAATGGCCTGTCTAGCTGGAAAGTCTGAGTACCACTTATACAAGGTTATAACTACACAAAGACTCTCAGGAAAATTGTATCAAATTATGATTATTTTAAAACTACTTCAAATCCCTAAGGGACAGCGCTATTTGAAATTTAAGAGGTCTTCATTCAGTTTAGCTAGTGTTTTATTAACCTTTTCTCATTCCACATAATGGTAGAACAGAGACTAAAATAGTTCACTCTTAATTCATAGTTTTAATTCCTCCAGGTTACATTTTTTTTGAATGTCTACATTTAGACAAGTCCTGGGAGGCCAACTAGGGGCACTGGCCTTACGTGAAGAAAGACATAAAAGTGTGTGACTAGTCCATGATCTAGAAGGATAACCTGCTATAATTACAAGAGCTAGGCTGGCTAGTATAAAGATGCAAGTGATTTCTCTAGAATTTATTTTGCAAATTCTGTAATTTTCACTGCTGATGAGTAATTAATATTTTTAGACAAAGCTCATTTTCTTTCTCTGGTCTTGTAATGCAACAGTAAAGAGCTTACCAGTGTACCAAGAAATTTCTGAAGAGCATCTCTATAAAATTTAAGTGCATCTACTGCAATTAAATAACTACGGACAGTGAACATGGGCTCATTTTCAGGAAACTCCTCATAGTACTGTTTCTAGGACCAGTTGCACACAGAAATCCTCTGTGCACAGATGGTATGGTGCTCAGAAAAGAAAAAAAAAGACAGACAGAAAGAAAGAAAACAGTAGAGCCTGGGCTCCATTTCCTGGGCTTTTTATCTCTCACGATCATTATGGCAACTGGGCAGTGAGGCAGCAAGGCAGTCGCTCGCTCCTAATACTGTTGAGACTTCTCAGTCTGGGTTTCTCAGTGACTGGAATATTTCATTCCTTCTTTTTTTTGGATTGTCTGCCAGGATGTTCTGGGTGTCAGGAGAAAGCACCTACCTTCCCCTCTTTCTCTCCTCTCCCTTCTTGTGTTTTAACTGAGCTGCTTCCAGTACTGCTTTGTGCCTCCAGGCTGTCTGGTTCTTCAGCACTTCCATCGTGTATAGTGCAGCAAACAGCCTTTGGCTTTTTACAGGAGATCGTATTTATGACTTACTGACCTTACTTAAGGTGCTGCTTTAACTGTATAGTTAGATCATGAGCAAAGCTTGTATTTGGAAAAAGTATGGGAGTGCTATCCTTTTGAATTACCAAATGGGAAGGGGCAGTAGGTAAGATTTGTTTTACAGACTTCATTTTTTCCATAAAATAAACCCACTTAGTCATCTTTTCAATTCATATTTATATTCTCCATTTAGCTTAGAGCATTAAGTGTTTCTCTACAGGAGGAAGACAACTAGTGAAATAACATGACAAAAAAAATAGTGAGAATTTCTGTGCAGAATATATAAGCAATTTAAACATGTCTATCCAAACCAGTTCTGGTCAGGGGACAATGGAATTTCTTTCCTGCACCTGGGCAAAATATGATCTGCGTCTCTCTTCCCAGATGTGTGTCATAAGCATCCTAGTATGCTACAGTAGGATGAACTGGTAAGCAATAATTAACTAATTTTAGTTAAAAAAAAAAAGGAGCGCAATTTCTTTCTACAGTAAAGCAAGAACTCAGTTAAAGTGCATTGGCTGCAGTTTTATGTGTGCTCATTTTCTTTAGTCAGCTTGTCTGTCAAGAAAATTGTAACATCCTGAAATGATATAAACAGCAATTGTTGGCTAAATCAAGGCTGTTGTAGAGTGACACATTTCTGCGTGACCTGATGTACCCACAGCATTAGGTGATATGATTAAATAAAGTACCCTGATTTTATTAAATACAGTTCTGCTGTTGTCCCTAATAAATATGTACCTAGCACAGCACCCCCCACCTTTCATTCCACAGGTCCTTGGGTCCATTTGTCCAACCTCTTTCCTTGTGTGTGCAACCTGCAATCCCCTTCTTAATCTGCCACTGACACCATCTGGAGCCTTCTGGTCCCATCTTTAGGAGGAATTTGTGTTCTAGTAGTTCCTCAGCAGACTTCAGCCATATAAACCTTTTGGCAAAAGAGAGAATTTCTCTCTACCCACAGGGCACAGCCTTCTGCTAGCCACGATCTTGGGTTCACTAACAGACTTTAGTGAGATCAGCTATCCTACACCATCTCCCACGTGGCCTTTCCTCTTGGAAGCAGCACAGTTCTGCTGGATGAAAGATCACTTCAGGTACCATCCTGGGTGTGCCAGACTTCCAAATTTAACTGCATACCTGCAGGCACATCTGGGAAATATATGAACAGTTCACAGTACTGTCTCAACATCCCGCTTTACTGAAGAGGGTGCATCTCATGCCAGTGTTGGGCTTCCATAACAAACCTTAGGAAATTCTACTAGTCTGATAATGTGAGGAAGGGACAATATTTGAGTTTTTGAATGTCCTTTTCATTTGGAACAGAGATTTAGAATAGGTAATGAGTGATGCTTAGTACAACGCTGGTCAAAAGGCTGTGCAAATCTTGTTTACACAAGGAGAATCAATGTGAGTGTAGCTCTGTGGTCACAGCCTGAGCACACTAACACTACAAGCTCAAAATTGTCTCATTTGTAGACTGTTCCCTACACAATTTTATTTACTCAGTTTATCTCTGGGTCTTTGGTGTTTTCCTCTGCTTATGCAAAAACAAGCGCACTTTCATTCCAGGAAATACTCTGCTTTTGTCACTTGAATTTATAAGTAGCTGTAATTTTGAATGACTGCTTAACTCTCTCTTATAGCAATTGCAAATGAAGGACTCTGGTTGAACCTGCCAGTTTCAGGAAAAAAAGCAACCCTACCTGTCATATTCCTAGGATACTCCAAGTAATTGCAAATTGCTGCAGTTCCTCTTCACTGACATTAGATTGCTTAGCTCTCCCAGTTGCTCCACAAAAGTATCTCAAGTATTATCATCATGGCTAGGCTTCACGAACAAAGATTTAATACAAGTATCATTAATCCCTCTCCTTTTCTCCTTAGCATTCATATTTTGCTTTGCTTATATTTTTTCCCTTTTCTGCTGAGTTGTCTCTGCATAACAATTCACAAGGAAGTGACTGTTAATCTACAAACAGCACTAAGAGAAGTAGCACATTCCTTGTACTGGAGGGGAACAAGGGTCTCAGTCTCGAGTTTGCAGGCTGTGTGGGAAACTACATGGGCACTCTGAAGCACAGCCATTTCTTTTATAGCGCTATGATCCAGCTGCTGCTAAAACTTTCCATTTTAAGTCCCATTTTAGGGCAGTCTCAAACATTAAGGTATGTAATATGCAGTGTATAGAAGAGCAACTCAAAGATTAGTTTGAATGCTTATCTAAAGCATGGTGGGTGGTTAAGACAGATATGGGACAGAATGTACAAGAGTTAGAGTGCTTTGCAGGAAATGGGTTTTCTTTCCCTGTGGAGGAAATGCCAAGGTGCACAGAGATAAAAGACACAGGCATGAAATTAAATAAAAGGTTGTGGCCGTCCCCATTTCAGTTACAGCTTTGCTGAGAGGACTAAATTTTCATGGGATCCACATCTGAGAGAAAAATACACAGAGGGGAGAAAAAACAAGTATAAAGCAAGGGAAGGGAAAACACAAGAACTGAAGGCTATGCTGACTCTAAGACTTCATTTGGAGGACATTTGATGCAACATAGAAGCTCTTTTGGTTTCTAACACTGTGGTGAAGAACTGGCTGAACTGAGAATCTATCACTCACCAACCACTTCTTACTCAGTCAAGGGCTCTCCAGCTGCAAGGAAATGCTGTTGGTGGGAAATGCATTAGCAAATGTTTTGTTGTTTGTTGTGGTTTTCATTTTTTAACTAGGGGAGGTCTGAATTCAATCTCTTAAGAAATCCCCAAGGTACTCACCTTTCCAGTACTGTTATGTCAGGGTTTTTTTTATGACACAGTACTGTATAAATACAGATTTCAACCAAGCTGGTCAACTTCCCTGTCCCAGCTGCTCTCACACTTGCTCACAAAGCTGTAGCAGCTCACTGGCTCGCCAGGCTCGCCTTGACCACTGCAGGGGGGAAAACAAATTCACAGGGAAAGCTGTATTTTTCCTTCATAAACTCAAATGTTTATTCAGCCTGAAGTCTTGTAGTGTACTGGGCTAGTCTATGCCTCTTGGGCAAGGCAGCCCATTATACTGTGATTTGCAGTAGGGGGACTATACTTTTATTTTGGCATTTTCAGTGGAGACAGCTGCTATGGAGTTGAATGAAAGCAAACCCTGCACTTGCACAAAAAGCTTGTGCTGCTTTGGAGGTACAAATCTACTTTCAACCAATAAATAAATCATCAAATCACAGAATGGTTTGGGCTGCAAGGGACCTTAAAGCTTTTCTAGTTCCAAACCCCAGCCATGGACACCTCCCACTAGCCCAGGTTGCTCCAAGCCATGTCCAACCTGGCCTTGGACACTTCCAGGGATGGGGCATCCTCAGCTTCTCTGGGCAATGCAAATAAAGCCAGAACCCTATCGGCCTGGTGCTGTTTGCAGGTGTTTTCCTGGTTTTCTACAAAGACATGCAGAGATGAAGATACTAAACCTAAACCATTAAAATTTCTCTTTAGACTCACATTATCTACTAGCTCAATCTTAGCTGGAGCTAGGCCTGCGTGGTGCATGTTCGTTTATGTATTTCACACAGATAGATTTTCACAGCTTCACAGAATCATTTAGGTTGGAAAAGACCCCTGAGATTGAGTCCAACCTTTGACCCAACACCACGTCAGCGAGACCACGGAACTGAGTGCCATGTTCAGTGTTCCTTAAACACCTCCAGGGACAGTTACTCCACCACCTCCCTGGGCAGCCCGTTCCAATGTCTAATCACCTTTTCTGTGAAGCAATTCCTACTAATGTCCAACCTAACCCTCCCCTGGCACAGCTAGAGGCCGTTTCCTCTTATATGGTCACTTGTTACCTGGGAAAAGAGACCGAGCCCCGGCTGGCTACACCCTCCCTTCAAGGAGTTGTAGAGAGTAAGGTCTCCCTTGAGCCTCCTTTTCTCCAGGCTCAGCCCCCGCAGCTCCCTCAGCTGCTCCTCACCAGACTTGTGCTCCAGACCCTTCTCCAGCTCTGTTGCCCTTCGCTGGACATGCTCCAGCACCTCAGTGTCGTTCCTGAATTGAGGAGACCATAACTGGATGCAGCACTTGAACTGCGGCCTCGCTGGTGACCACTACAGAGGGGAGAACCGCTTCTCTAGTCCCGCTGGCCACAGTATTGCTGACACAGAACGCTTCGCCAACATTCAGAAATTCACATAATACACTTCTAACGCACTTCGGGGAACACGAGGTGTCAACGACGAACACCCACCCGAGGGGCGGGCAGGGGAGGCGGTCCTTCATACGGGCGGGGCGGCACCACCCGCTACCGCCATCTTAGGTGCGGTACGGGCACAGGCGTCGGGCGCCATGGCAACGGCGGCCATGTCGGGCGAGGGCAAAGCGGCGCCTCCATGACGCGTGAGGGTGAAATGGCGGCCGGAAGGGGCGGTCGGCGGCGGCCATTGCTGGTGGGACGGGCTGAGGAGGTAGTGGCGGTGGTGCCGCGGCGGGTCTGTGGTGCAGGCCGGGATCCGGGCTGGGGTCCGAGGAGAGCCGGGAGGTGGCAGTGCGGGGGAAGGGGGCAGTGGCTCGGTGGTGGAAACGCCACACGCCCATGGAGGGAGAGACGGGACTGGGGGGTGTGCGGCTGGCGGGCTGGGAGGCTCCCGGGTGCAGCGGCAGGACCGCGGGGGTCCCCACGGACTGGAGGTGTAGGACGGGGGTGTAGGAGCGGCTGGGGCATGTGGGAACTCGAATCATGGAATTTTTAGGGTTGAAAGGGACCTCTGGAGATCACCCAGTTCAACCCCCCTGCCAAGGCAAGATCACCTGGAGCAGGTGACACAGGAACACGTCCAGGTGGGTTTGGGATATCTCCAGAGAGGGAGAATCCATCCCCTCCCAGGGCAGCCCGTTCCATGCTCTGCCACGCTCAGTGGAAAGAAATTCTTCCTCATGTTGAGTGGAACTTCTTATGTTTTAGTTTATGACCATTGCTCCTCATCCTGTCGCTAGGCACTATCGAAAAGAGTCTGGCACCATCCTCTTGGCAACCATTAATGAGATCGCCTCTCAGTCTTCCCCTCTCTAGACTAAACAGCCCCAGCTCTCGCATCTCTCTTCCTCAGAAGGCCGATGGTAGGGGAGAGGAACGCCAGGAGGACAGTCAGTCTGTGATAAATCAGTGTGGTCTGTTTGGGGAGGGAATAATGTGAGTAGCCTGTAACTGAGAGAAAAGGTTGAGTTCCTAAAGAACGGAAATTTTAAATAGGTGTTATTTTAAGGAGCTCTAGATTTGATCGTGCAATGGAGTTGGCTGTTTTTCCCCTTTCTTCTTCCATGCTTAAGATATTCCTGCTGAGCCGGACCTGGAGGCCATGGAAAAATCCCTTTTAGGCTTGTGGCCAGAACATTGCTTGACTGGAGTTCCTGTTGGGGAGTATAAACTCAAATGGCAGCTTTTACATGTGCCCAGTGCTTTTAGTTCTGTGATTCTGTGTCTGTACATCAGGTTTTATACGTATGCGGTAGAGTTTCTGTACTATAGCAGCAAGAGCTGGTGGCAGCAGAAGTAATAAAACCTCGAGGTTTTCAGATTCAGTGTAAAATGGTAGTATGTGAGAAGAGAAAATCTAATTTGAGTTTCAATTTGTAGGGCTTGTCATCACAAGTCATTTTTTTTTTAAGTAAGTACAATGTAAGAATCAAAATAAAGCTTATTTTGTCAGTTAGTTTGCAGAGCAGAAGAGCTCTTCTGTATCAAAAAGGAAATAAATGACATTTAAAAAAGGGTACGTTCCTCCTTAGAGTTCTTTACCTCTTCTGTGTGTGTGAGCAGCAAAAGGGGTTGTTAAGCATTGGAATGGGCTGCTCAGGGAGGTGGTGAAGTCACCATCCCTGGAGGTATTCAGGGAAAGACTGGATGTGGCACTTAGTGCTATGGTGTAGCTGAAAAGGTGATGATCAGTCAAAGGTTGGACTTGTCGATCTCAGAGATCTTTTCCAATCTAAAGGATTTTGTGAAAGAGAGGGTCTCTGATACTAAAAAATCAGTGGGTTGGATTGTGGTGTACAGTGTGTGAGGAAGTGGGGAGAGGGGGAACTGGAGCTTTGAGGGATGGTGTCAGGAGGCAATGGAAGGGATACTTTGTGGACAAAAAATGTGAAAAGCACTGGTCACTGGTGGCTTACTGGACTGACAGGTAGTAGATGAGGTGTTTTTAGTGACTGCTGTTACCCCACCCTCTCCAGTGGCCTCATAATTCAGCTAGGATAGGCTGCCCAGAGACATTGCTGAGTTTCTGTGCCTGGAGATACTCAGGCTGCCTGGACAAGGCCCTTGACAACCTGCTTTGACTGACCTTACTTCCTTCAGGAGCACTGGGCAGGTGACCTCCAGACATCCCTCCCAGCCTCAGCTGTTCTGGGATTCTCTAACTAGTCCAGAGCTTTTCAGAGTGCGTTAATATAGGGATAGATTCTCTTCAAATGTGTCTGCATCTCCTAATAGACAGGAAAGTTCTTGAAATAGGTCTTTACAAGCCTTGACTGGGAGTTGTTTTTCATTTCCATAGGATTTATAAGATTTGTAGGTACAGACCATATCTCCAAGGTAAGAACTTTGTGAACTTGGTGCCACATATACACAGTCTCAGCAGTTTGTTAAAATCTAACCCTGATACTTTTTGTTAATACAGAAAAGCAGCAACTGAACCTGCATGAAGATTTTTTTCCCAAAGGGCGTGATAAGGTACAGTGCTTCCATTTAACATTACAGAACAGTGGATTTTTTTCCCCTTGAACTTGCTGTTTGTAGTGCTGATCCTAGTGGTGTCTTTCACCATTTAATGTTTGGCCAGAATGTGTGAGTCAACACAGGCAGGCAAAACTCACAGCTAGAACACAAAGAGTAAATTTATTTCCATTACCTTGGTAACCTTGGGATCTCCAAAGCAACACCTGGGCACAAGGTACCCCCACCTGGAGGTGGCACTGTTAAACTCGGTCCATGCCAGAGGATCACCACCCTGTCAAGGCTTATTCCCAGCTACAGGGTCTCTTGAGTGATCTACAGTCCTCCTCACCTGTCTTCCACTTTTAACCCATTCCTTCCCTGAAGTATTTTCCAAAACCATTAGAGTTACGTGATCTGTTCTGTGTTGCGCATCTTGTTGCCGTGATGGATTGGTATGTTAAAAATCCCAAATCGAGTTGATTGGATGTGTGTGTGTTTGGGATTTTTTCAATAGTGTTCTTTCATATTCAGGAAGAATTTGGGGAAGGTGGGAACCTGTTTGCTTCAGCCACCATGTCTGGAATTGGCAATAAACGGGCAGCTGCAGAGCCTGGCCCTTCTGCCCCTCCGGAGAAGAAGGCGGGAGTTGAAGATTCGGGGACCACAGTGGAGACCATCAAGCTTGGTGGTGTTTCCTCAACAGTACGTCCTCCTTGCACACCCCCACTCAACCTCTTGCTCTTTTTCATCTGGAAACAAAAATGTGTCTGTGATCTGCCTTATGTGCCACGTTTCCCTGCACAGGAGGACCTGGACATCCGGACCCTGCAGACCAAGAACCGGAAGCTCGCAGAGATGCTGGACCAGCGTCAGGCCATTGAGGATGAGCTGCGGGAGCACATTGAGAAGCTGGAGCGCCGGCAGGCCACTGATGATGCGTCTCTGCTGATCATCAACCGATACTGGAACCAGGTTGGTTTGCTGCTTCCTATGCACTGTTCTCTTCTGTACCATTGCATTGCTTTTATTCACATCCATTCTCTGTCTTACCTTGCCTGTCCCATCATTCAGTTTGATGAAAATATCCGCATCATCCTTAAACGCTTCGATCTGGACCAAGGTCTTGGAGACCTTTTGTCTGAAAGAAAAGCGCTGGTGGTACCAGAACCCGAACCAGACTCTGACAGTAACCAGGAACGCAAAGATGAGAGGGAACGAGGTGAGACACCTGTCTGGAGGCAGTGGGAAAGATGGATTTCAGCTGTGGACAATGCTGATGTCCCTTTCTAAAGGGTGGCAGAGGCTCTCTTTTGTGATTGTGGAGATTATGTGTTATATGTTATTTGCTAGATAACATTTACCTTCTAGTGCCTCCTTCTGTTCCCAGGGGAAGGACTGGAGCCAGCATTCTCCTTCCTGGCCACTCTGGCCAGCAGCACCAGCGAGGAGATAGAATCCCAACTGCAGGAGCGTGTAGAGTCTTCCCGCCGTGCTGTTGCCCAGATTGTGACAATGTACGACAAGCTGCAGGAGAAAGTAGATGTTCTGTCTCACAAGCTGAACAGTGGAGGTATGACCAAGGTTACAGGTTTTCAAGAACACTCATCTAACCCCCACCTTAGAGCTGATGCTACATTGTGCACATTAAGGCCTAGTCTGTTTCATGCTCGTTTATTTTCCAAAATAAATTGTCCTGGCATTCTGAACTCATTATAAAAAGCTCTAATAAAGGGCTATATGCTAGAAGTGTATTGTAACTACCTCTGAATTTGAATGCTGAGAGCTCTGCCCAGTGTGTTGGGCTAAGAAAAAGCTTGTTTCTGCCAGTAATGTTAGTTCTGCCAGGTGTTCATGCACCTGGGAAGTTACAGATTGCAGTTGAACCTTATCACCCTGCTATCCTCAGCCATCATGTAACAGGCTTCATGCTTACAAGTGAAGAAGTGAAATCATCATTGCAGACTGGTGTTGGACTCCTTCTCACTGGCAGTTTAGTAAAAGGTGTAGTTTTACATATGTATTTTATATATATATAAAAGTACTCAGTTTCCACTGAGTTTTGAGCAAAATGGTGCCCATCTAATGTCTTGGTGTAGCTGTCAGTTTTAAACACAAAGTAGAGTTCTGCAGAAAAAAGCCAAATGACTAGTTTCTAAAAATCAACGTAGCAGATTCACTTTACACTCAGATGGCTGTCTAAAAAACATTAGCTTAAGGGTAGAATTTTAAGCTTTTGAGTGAAAACTTGGGTGGAATATCAGCTCATCCATGGTTTGCCTTCTGTCCAGAGTATTCTTTGTGCTCTGATAAAGAAGTTCTGAGAAGTCTGGCATTGTTGCAGGGGAGTGTTACTGTCCTTAGTTGTAAACTGTCACAGCTCTCTGATGGAGATCAGGCTCTTGGGAACCCTCTGTAGGAGAGATAAA